CAGGTGGGGAGGAGTCTGCTCACTGCTGGCAGGGTGTGCAGGCGCAGGTGGAGAGGAGTCTGCTCACTGCTGGCAGGGTGTGCAGGTGCAGGTGGAGCCAGGTGGAAGGCACCCTTGGGCTGCAGGGCTCGGCCTAGCAGGCACCCTCCCCAGCACTGAGTGAGCCAGCCTAGCGCAGGGCAGGTGAAGGAGGTCTGTCCTCCCCACATTCCCTTCTCACGGTGGAGAGTGCCAGTACAGAAGTCACAGTGCTGTTCACCTTGGTATCGGTGATGAGGCAGGTGTGCCCTGGTGGCTCAACAATGTCCCATCAGCACTCAGACCCCACAGCTGTGTGCAGAGGAGGGGAAAGCCCTGTGACAAAGGCAGTGCCCTCCAGAGCCTGGGGAGAGGGGTGCCCTGGGCGTCACATCACAGGGAGTAGAGGGAAAGAGGGCAGGGTGAGGGCAGGAGGGGTACGTGTGCCAAGGTGCAGCTGGAGCGAGGCAGTTAGGAGACAGGAGCAGACGGTTAAGAGAAGACGGTCGGCACCTTGTGTGGGAGAGGCAGGGAGATACTTCCTCCAGTAAGCTTCAAGGAGAGACTCAGCAGTGCCTGTGCACGAGGCTCTCAGTGCTGTGAGCGTCAGCAGGCATCATGCACTCCAGTGCAGAACGTGCCATGAAGCAAAGTTGGCTGCTGCTGGCCAAGGAGGGGTATAGGAAGCTGGCAGTGTGAAAGCCCAGGAGCACTCCCTCCTGGATGTCAGCATCTTACAGAGACCTGCGGTCAAGCTGCCAAGTCAGCCACATTCCCCCTCGTCATGGGGTCTGTACTGCTGTCCCTGGTTCCAGGGGCCACCTTGCGTGGCCCCCATCAGAGATGAGCCCTCCAGAGCTCTCTGCCACCAGGGAGGGGGATACAGCCAGGCAGATGAATGTGGCCATGTGGCAGTTAGGAAGCCACCCTCCTGACCCCAGGGGCACACTCAACCACACACAGGCATGAGCAGGGAAGGGCTGGACTGTGGGTGGGGCCTTGGGAAATGTGGGTGGAGCCTGAGAGGTGTGGGTGGAGCCCAAAGATGCCGCAGGAGACGCAGGACTCCCAGCAGCCCTGGGTTCTCTAGAGCAGGGGTCTCTAGATGTCTACAGAGACTGACTGTTCTGAGACAGCTGTCATTACCTAGGTAGCCAGCAGAGATGGCCTCTAGGTGAGCAGAGTTGAGACGTTGTAGGTCTCTTCAGGGACAGGGGCTGGCTGGCAGGGCACCTGTGTGCTGCCATGGAACTGCTGCTCACCCCACAGGCTGAGCCCCTTCATGCTTGGAAGTGGACGTCCCTCCTGCACATGGCTGCACGGCCCAGCCCAGTCCTTATCCAGCATTTCACTTCGTGAGGACAGACTCCATTTCACCATCTGACACTCCAGCAGCCTCATGGGAGGTGGAAGGGGAATCCGCCTCAGGGCCATCTGAGATCCCTGTGCCCGGCTGCCCTCCTGGCCCCCCGTGCCGGGCACCCTTCAGTCTGGTGCTCTCTTTGCCATGTGTCTGGCCACTTCTTTTTCCTGGCCAAGCTCCGGAACTCTCATCAGTGGCCTGTGGGTGCGTGAAGTATCTGTTCCGTCTGATGGTGGGCATCGAGAGATCCCACTGGCTCCTGCGCCATCTACTCTGGGAGCCCCAGTTGTCCCTGAGCCCCCTTGTGGCTTCCCCTCATGCCCATCCTCCTCCCTCAGCTTCTCCAAGGAGCACCCTCATTCTTGGTGACCCCCTTGGCCAGAAGTCACTGTGTTCCATCTTTAAACAGGGGTCTCAAAATGGGAAGTGCCTGAATGGCCTGAGTTTCATCTAAGTTCAGCCAAAAACTAGGTTTTCTGCAGCAGTGAGTTTTGTCCTGGCTTCAAGCACACATTTCTTCTTGAGCATTTTAATGCTGCCTGTCTGGGCAGAACTGGTCTCCCCGAGGATGTGGCAAGGAAGGCATAGATGCCGCTGGGCCGTGCTGGCTTCAGAGCCTCCCTACTCGGGCCCTGGCTGCCACCTGTGGGTCGCTGCTGGTCCCCTGGGGGGACCAGTGTGGAGCACCCAGGCCGAGTGACTGCGGCCTCTTGGCTTGGCGGAATGGGGAGCAGGGTAGCTCTGAGAGGGGTGGCAGAGGCTCAGGTGCTCTTAGCCCGACCTCGGGCAGGTGGCCTGGATCAGGCAGCATCTGCCAGCAGGTATGGGCGGGGCCTCTCGGAGCACTGAGCTCAGAGCTTGGGGCAGAGTCCAAGGCTGACAGTCTGCCCGGAGCCCCCGGGGTGCACTGCCCACAGTCTCCAGAGGCTGGCTCTGGCTCTTCTCTAAGAAATGCCCCCGTCCTTGCTTCTAGCTAATAGGCTGCATAATTGGACGCCAAGGGACCAAAATCAATGAAATTCGACAGATGTCTGGAGCTCAGATCAAAATTGCCAACGCCACTGAAGGGTCCTCAGAGCGTCAGATCACCATCACAGGGACCCCGGCCAACATCAGCCTTGCCCAGTATCTCATCAATGCCAGGTGAGCAGCTATGAGGGCCTCTGAATGCCAGGACAGGGACGCGCCAGCCGGCGTTACGTTGCCTGGAAGGTCGGGGGTGGGAGGAGGCTGAGTCTAGGCCACACTCTGCCCGCCCCTCTGCCCGCTCTGCCCCGGGCTGGAAAGCGAGGACTGGCTGGGACAGCGCCAGCCTCTATGCAGACGCCAGACCGCCTCACTCCCCAACCTCCCACCTGAAGCGTCTCCAGTGATGATCCCAGAGGCCAGAGAGGAAGGCAGGTGCTCCCGTGGCCCCAGAGAGGTGGCCAGACCTGCCTCTTTGAGGCAGCAAATCCTGGAAGGCCTGACTTGTCCACTCAGAGCTCTCCAGAAAGATGAATGTTTTGAGGCTTTGCCATTTTGCCTCCTCTTTCTTCCTCATGGAAATGTGTAAGGACAGGCAGGACCAGTCCATGGGTCCCTGCTGCACATGGGAGGGTCTGGAGCCACCTGGGGCCCTGTGACTGTGCCCCACTCAGCCTCGACCAGTGCCCCATCCTGCCAGGCAGGCCATACCACCAGCACCTGCCGGCCTCTGACAAAGCAACACCCCCTCCTCCCTCCCCAAGGGTGTCCTCCTGCTAGAGCCCCGAGCTGGGCTGGTGGGAGGGGTGGGGCAGGACCTCTGGGTAGACACAGCCCTGTGCGGGCCCTGGAACCCCGTCCCTGTGCCCCTTCAGCCACCTGCGCTCCCAGTGAGTGGGTAAGAGGCCACCTGGACAGCACGAGGACACCCCTGACTTTACCACGGGCACCCCACTGGGCATGTGTCACAATCCAGAGTCAGGCTGGGCCTCTCTTCATCCCTGTGACTTGACATGGTGACAGGCCTGGGGGGGGCCTGGGCAGGGTGGAGGCCCAGGGTCCAGTCCTGTGTGCCCTGCTTTGGTCTCCAGCTTAGGACCTCCTGAGCTAACAGGCACCACCTGTCCCAGCGAGCAGAGGCCTCACAGCCCAGCCTCACGCCTGCCCACTGAGGAGGGTGTTTGTTGTGACCGTCTCTCCCCCTCCTGCCTGTCTGTTCTAGGCTGA